CTCTCAGATTCGTTCATTTCGTGATGACATCTTCGATTCTATAATTTTGGTGAATATTTTTGTCATTTTTGGTAAAAAGTGATATTTTCGACTTCTTGTAAAAAACCAATAGTCTGATTGCTTTGATATTACATATATAGGTACTACATGTGGACCTCTCTCAGATTTGTTCATTTTGTGATGGCATCTTCAATTCTCTAATTTTGGTGAATATTTTTGTGATTTTTGGTAAAAAGTGATATTTTCGACTTCTTGTTAAAAACCAAAAGTTCAATTGCTTTGATATTACATATATAGATACTACATGTAGACCTTTCTTAGATTTGTTCATTTCGTGATGATATCTTCAATTCTCTAATTTTGGTGAATATTTTGGTCATTTTTGGTAGAAAGTGATATTTTCGACTTCTTGTTAAAAACTAAGTCCGATTGCTTTGATACTATACATATTGTTCATTTTCTAATGATGTCTTCAGTTCTTTAATTGAAATGTGCATTGCTAACAGCGGAGCTATCTCAGCCGATAGGCTGCTTGTTATAAGCTTGGTTTGAGATGTACCAGTATTAATTTTGATTTCACATTCAATTGTTTTACACATTTTGATTGTTCTGTACTGCCATTAAAGGAATTAATTGAACACAATTTAAAATTTGAAAAGAGACAAGTTGATGGTATGGTGAAACACTCATTTTACTCCTCACAGTGAATCAGACAAATTAGTACATGTACCGAGGGTAGTACCAGGTGTATTATTACTTGAGTTTTGACTTGAAAGCTGTTACAGTGATTTGTATTCAGGTACTACCCTTTTATTAGCTTGCCCATAATGAAGGGAAAGGTATATAATGGGGTAAATGTCTGTCTCGTTGTCATTGTTCCTGTTAACTGTTTCTTGTGGTAACAGTAACCCATCCATTTTTTTACTCTCGTGTGCGAAGCACAAAAGGGAGTCTTTGCAGTTACCCTGTCTGTATGTCTGTCTGTATGTATGTATGTCACTTTTTTTGTTCCACCGTTATCTCAAGATCCACTAATAAAATTTTGGTGAAACTTGATACATAGATGCTCGGAGATAATGTGCAGAGTTGATTAGGTTTTGGTAAAAACTGAATATTAATTACCTAATTTGCATGATAATTAGCTGATTGTTAGCTGTTCCATGACCGTTCCATTGATATCTGAAGAACCACTCATTGAATTTTGATGAAACTTGGCACATGGATGCTCTGAACTAATGCGCAGATTTGATTAGTTTTGGGTAAAAATCTGTTTATATTAATTACCTAATTTGCATAATGATTAATCAATTTTCGGCTTTTCCACTGATATCTCAAGTACTAATTATAACATTTCAATAAAACTTGGTACATAGATGTCATATGACACTGCACAGACCTGATAGTTTTTAGGGTAATATCAGTACATATTAATCACCTTATTAGCATAATTAGTTAATTTTCAGCTTTTCACCTGATATCTCAAGTACTAATCATCACATTTCAATGAGACTTGCGAACATAGATCTTCTAGGATTATGTAGAGACCTGATTAATTTTGGGATAAATAATTGTGCATATTAATTACCTAATTTGCATAATTAGTTAATTTTTTGCTGTTCTATGGCTGTTGCACTGATGTCTAAAAAACCACTCATTGGATTTTAATGAAACTTTTAAAGAGTACCCATCACATTTCAATGAACCTAGGACTATACACCATATTAGTTTATCGGAAAATATTTATGCTTCTTAATCACCTAATTAACATAATTAATACTGATATCTCAAGTATTGATGATCACATTTGAATAAAACTTGGTACATAAATGCTCTAGGACAATAGACAGCCTGATTAATTTTGGGGTAAAATCTGTTAATATTAATTCTCTAATTACCATAATAATTAATATTTTTTGTTTCTAATCACATTTCAATGAAACTTGGTACATTGTGCAGACCTTATTAGTTTTACACTTAAATCAGTTCATATTAGTTACCTTATTTGCATAATTAGTTTTCTGAGTTTCCATCAATATCTCAAGTTCAAGTAATTTTTAATTAATTTTTAATGTCTCTCTAATACTCTCAGCACATGGGAGTTCTTTCTAAGCTTTCTTTGATTATCTGGTTGTTTTTAAACTTGAATATCATATTAGTGACTATAAAATCTTGCAAGTTCAATTGTAGTTTGATTTGCTTATTTATTTTTCATTAGAATATTGGTGAAATTTCACCTAAAAATTGTCTCATTTTGTGATTACAATAATAATTTTTATCTGATCATTTTCAAATTTGGAAATCTTGTTAACCACTATTAATGGGGAAAATATATGAGGGGAAAATGTCTGTCTTATCGTTGTCATTGTCGTTTGACATGTGCTATTAACAACTGGACTTGGGTAGTTCAAAAAGGTGCATGATTGATTTACTTTTATATGTGAATACAGAATGATTGCAAGTTTAATGTATGTAAACCATTATTAGTTAGTGTACAGACAGCAGTGATGTAAATTCAGTTAAGAATTTTATTACAGTAATGTTCTGTAACGCATTTCATTTATTCTGATTTAACCCCACTTGACAATATACCTACACAATAGTCTTTTATATTTTTTTAAGGGTAATAAATTGAAAAGACAACAAAAGTAATATTGTCCCACTTCTTGATATGTTAACCATTTATTTCTTCTGTAAATAGAAAAAAAATATGAATCACGTACATTTAAATTACCAATTTGTCTACTGTAGTCCATATTTGCATGTGTAATTTTCTTTTTCACTGGCATGTTTTATAATTATTTGTGAGTCTCCTACAAAGTTCAGTGACTCCTCCCCTAAACAGCAATGCTTACGTTCACATCTGACCTCTTTAACACATTCGATTGTGGTTCTTTATAATGTGTAATTAGATGTGAAAGTGTCTGCAGTCTTTCTTTTTTTATGATCTGCATGACCAGTATTTTGCAGTCAGTGGAGCAGTATAGTTAGCAGGTAATCCCTGACCAGTATTGTATTTGCTCATTTTCGGAGCTATTTTATATTTACATTCGGTAGTATATTTAACATTTTTTGTTATATTGTTTTATCATACTTCCTTGATCATATAATCCAAACCGCTTTATTTTAAAGAGGGCGGGCATTGACATTTATTAAAATATGCGTGTAAAAAGTGTTTATTGCATACAATATATATTTATTTTACTTTCAGTTTGTTTACATTCTAAAAATTTCTGTTAGTGTTCACGTTGATGGGAAAAAGACAACTACAACATAAAAATCATCTTTGCATTTGGTGGTGATCTTGGCAATGGCTCCCATGTGACTGTCATGACGACTACCGCACCCAGCCTTTTCACTGTTAGATTACTGTAAAATTCAACACTAATTTTAGATTTATCAGGCAAATAATTTACATTTTGATAACAAGTATTTACTGTAAAGGGGCTAGTTATCCACTGGGTTTTAATTTTGCTGACTGTAAAATGTGCTAAATTAAAACCCAGTGAATATTTTAAATTTAGCATAGAACACATTATCTAAATGATAAAACCGTGAATTTAAAAACCACTGAATATGCCTGAAATGGCAAATTAGTAAAATTTAAACTCAGTGAAAATTAGTAATTTTACAGTACTGTAATATAAGTACATCTCCAAAAGGAGAAAACATAGCATTTATTGTATGCCAAGTTACACACTCAAAACTATAGACGCACCTTTTACAGACGTGCATACACTATTAAAAGCAAATACAGTTTTGATTATCATGACCAATTCTGTAAAGTACATTTGGGATGGGATAAATCAGTGAAAATACCATTTTTCTAATAGTTTTGCTAAAAGTCACAAATCGTGGAAACAAAATAAAAATAAACAACATTTAAAATGCCTTTTCAGCGAAAATTAATTCCAGTCACAATAAAAGTATTTTACATCAGAATTTGACTACCTTGTCAAATATGACAATACTAGAACATTGTAGTTACAGGGTTAAATATCATGCATTCATGTTCCAATGAACCATTCAATATATACTATTTTTTTACTTGTAATATGGAGAGTTTTTTCATTGAGGAGGGTGGAAGGACTTGAATATTAAAGATATAAATTTTTTTTAAACATTTTCTTTCAAACAGCTGAAGAATCTTTGTATATGCATGTGATTCATACTATGTCTATCAATGTGTTTGAAATGTGATAAATTAATTTTCTGCTACTAACCTCCTCCAATCATGTATATAATATTAACCTTTTCACCACTAGTTTCTCTTTTCATCACAAATTTACAAAATAGTCTAGTTTATAGTCTGCACTTTCCTTCGGAAGATTGGAACAAAAATACCAAAACTTTCAATTGATTAAAATTTTGTCTTGTTGGCTTCAAAATTAGGATTCATTTTCAGAAATACTGAAGAATATGAAAAAGAAAGTGCAGAAGAATGTGGGCGAGAAAAGATTAATATCAAAAACCAACATTTTCGTACCACTCACCATACACCCGACACAAAGTGAGAACAGAAACATGGCTGCCATCTCAATTACTGTTTTTATATACAATTTCAGGTAAAATATATATATTTTTTTCATAATATCTATTTGAAAACTAGTGTAATATTCCAAGAAATATACCTGGTACATGTTTAATCATTTTGATTTCTCTTGATAAATGTTATGTGGCTTACAAAATTGACACTGGGACATTTCTTTTACAAAAATTATGTACATGGAATAAAACTACATTGTTAATTTTCAACAAAAATCACGTATATATTGACTTAATGGGACCTTTTTTATGAAAATAAATCTTTTGGTCATGGGGGGGGGGGGGAGGGGGCAATTCATAGTTATAATACCTTGTTAGATTTGATATGTTCAAATGTCTTTAATTGTGAACACAGTCATGTCAAAATAATGTTAAAAACACATGGTTATCACCCTGTATGACTGTCTTAACTAATTTCAATTTAATATCCAAATTGAAAACTTCCAGTATATTGCCTGATCCCCAAATATTTATCATATATAGCACTAGACAGGCATCATCTATGATGACGAAACTAGCAAATCTATGAATAATATGTTAGTGAATTGATCAGAAAAGCTGGGGGTTGGCATTACGTATGGTCAGTATTAGACTGGCGCAGTCAGTCATTTGTTTTTGTAGTTTAAATAAAATAAAAAAAAAAATCGCGAAATGGAGGTGTTAGCGCGAAATCCGACTGGTTTATTCTGCAGGAAATTCATTGCTATTAAATATTCATGATGCACATATTATAATGAGATGGGCGCGGAAATACGTGCATAATGAGGTCAACATAGTAAAGGTCACGCTGCAGACCCAACATGGCGGCACGTTGAAATTCGAGTTTTTCGTAGTCGTCGTTTCTAATTCATCACAATGTGTAAAAAAGTAACTCGTACTCGTCGTAGAACTAAAAAAATATCGACTGCTACAATCAGTCGACGTATTCTCGGTCAGAGGTCAGTTGAAGAGACGCTGTGATTGGCTCAGATGATTGTCAATTAGAACACTCATTAACATAATTACCCGTTGAAAAATCGACGGGTTCCTGCAGTGTCGATAGAGGGCCATGCAGAGTAAACCAGTCGGGGTGATTTCGCAGTTACAAGGGATTTTGCACTAACACCACCATTTCGCAATTTATTTAATTTTATTTAAACTACAAAAACAAATTAATCACCCCGACTGCGCCAATCTAGGTCAGTATGTGTTCTCATGGTACTAGAGATAGCTTATCAGTGATGACACAGAAATATGTGCAGATTACGTAGTTACATAGTTATTCACGAGTCCATTCTTCGGTGTACTCGATAGGATAGCTGGATTCCAGGAAAATAAAGCACTTGCTTTGTAGTGAAAAATATTCAGATGTACATTGAAACAGTTATAGTATAGTACTACTCGACTGTTATCCGAACATTAAGAAATAACAGAATTCACAGCCTTGTGCACAAGTAATACATCTTGTACTACCAGTAAGAAAATAAACTGAATTGATGTTTTACACTTAAAATATGGATAAAATTAATTTGATTATGTAAAAATATTGACATAAAAATATTGCGATACATCTTCACGAAATATGTGCAGCTATATTAAACATGAGATAATACTCAACAACAATTGTGACGTTATAAAAAAATCTCTTGAAAAATTGTCTTTCAATATTAAAAAATATATCTCTTGTAATCAAAGAAATAAATTTGACACATCACTTTACACAATCAAGTGGCAGTAACAATGATTCTATTGTGGCTGCACTTTTAAAACCATCAACTTGAATTGTGATTTGTATGGTCTATAGAAAAAAATTTACATTAACATGCACAATGTATCTGTCTTTTTACATTCTTCTCATTCTCTATTACAATTAGCTTCACCATCACCAAATGTAAATGTTGCATTGTGGGAAATTGTCAAATAACCTATTCTTCCTCATCACCATCCTCTTCCAGCAGCCTCCTCTCATCCTGGGCAAGCTCTGTTTTACTGAAGTTTTTGAGTTTCTCGAGCACGTTGGATTTGCGCTTCGTCCTCAATTCTATATCTTCAAGCTCCATGTTTATGGCATGGCTGGGTTGACTACTCAGATGGGAAACCTGGAACTTCTGCTGAACATGCAAGGCCTTGAAGTCATCTGTTTTCAATTTGTGTGCGGTAGGTTTTTTGTAACTGTGAAGAAATCATTAATTTAGTACATTGTATTAGTCTCTACCAAAATGTTGTAACATTCTGCTAAGTTTTAGTTTTAGCCAGATTCAGATTCTGTTTAGTGATAGGTTGTCATAGGAACATTAAAATAATAATACTGAATTGTTACTTACAATTTGAGAAGCAATGATGAGGTAACCACAGAGACTGATGACATCGCCATGGCACCAGCAGCCATCCATGGCTGTAACATCACACCAAATGGCATCAATACACCTGATGGAGCAAACATTCACAACACACAGAGTTAATACTCAAATATCCAATGTGAAGTTAAATTTATAAGTTATGTGTTGATATTTATGATAATGTACTGTTATGAGGTGTACATTAATTCCAAATGACACCTGTGAATTAAACCAAATGTGTTCCAATAGTTGTCTTCAGTGGACAAGCCAATTAGTACAAATATTTGAAATTCCGCAAAATTTGGTTATAGACAACAGGGTCTGTTAGTTTTACGGAATAAGAATGTTAAGAATTCTATTCTTCTGCAATTAAGACATTGGGTTGTAAAATGACATTAAAGGGGATTACAGTTTGTCTATTAAATTTGGTGAGATTTTCCAATTCATTTTGAAGACCATGCACTAGATTTGTTTAATTTGTGTCTATATTTCGTATTTTGTCATTATTGAAACACTATACCTATACAATAGGAGTTTTATATAACTTGCAATTAAAATTCAATATTGACAAAGTTAAGACTACAGAGAAGTAAGTCTGAATATCTGCCAGTCCAAATATGAAGTTACCTATCACATGCAGGCCAGTTGGCTGACTGACATTTCACTGCCACACAGGTGGTTGTGTTTGAGAGAATATGGTTTATGTCCATGCATCATAACTACTGTAAACACATTAATTATTCACTGTGTTTTAATTTCACTATTTTCGCTGATTAGTAAAATCTGCTGAATTAAATTCACATGAACATGTGAAAAAAATAGAGCTCACTGTTTCTCTGCCAAGTTTGTGAAATTAAAACACAGTGAAACTGACCAAAACACTAATATAGTAAAATTAAATGTTAATGAAAATAAATAGTTTTACAGTATCATGTCATGATCATGTATCATGCTAAACAACTTGTCAATTTGTATAATTGTGAATATTTCTAGCTGTTTTTACTGTATTTATTTCAAATAAAACGGAATCATAAATGTCCCAAAGCAGACATGAAATGTTTTTCTGCAACAAATAACTGCTTACCTGCAGCAATGGGAATACCAATTAAATTATAAATAATGGCAAAACCAAAATTATAATGTATCCTTTTAACTGTACATTTAGATAAATCTATAGCAGCTACAACATCTATCAAATTATTCTGGAAAAAAAAGAAAAAAGAAATATTGCACCATAATTAGTGGCTTTATCACGATAAATTCCCAAATAATTTTGTATAACTTGACTACCAGTAATATCTAAATATGGCACATTAAACATGCATAGTGAATCATAGACAACATGTATGTATCCTCAACATGCAATCTCTCACACAATTGTATTTCTACAAATATATCTCTGCCAACATGCCATCTAATGTTCATCATTGTGGTACTACATTTAAAAATGTTCACTAAAACATTGACATGCAAGTGTTTGATTTTCGAAACCCAACGAAAGCGTAAACGATGATTGTAGATGCTATCAGCTATTGATGACATATTTTAAAACTTGTTGGAACAAATCAACACGAGACCCCTCTAATAACAAAACAATTCTGAGAATACATGTAGTTAAAAGTCTTGCGGCATTTCATCGCCAAAATGGCCATGTGTAGGAATGAGAATGCCAGATATGCATAACATATTCTTATAAAGAACCCCCTAGCTTACAATTAAATATACTGTAACTAGTGACAAATACATGTATCACAAAAACTGAGATTTATGCAGGCCTACCTTGATGAGTACAACATCAGCTGCTTCCACAGCAACATCAGTTCCTGTTCCTATGGCGATACCTACATCTGCTCCAGCTAGAGCAGGTGAGTCGTTGATTCCGTCTCCTACCATGGCAACGCAAACTCCATTTTTCTGTAACTTCTGTACTTTGTCTACTTTATGTGATGGTAACACCTCGGCAAATACCAAACTGATACCAATCTGTGTTGAATACATAAATAATAGCATATATCAACATATATTAACATATATTAAATCTGCTCCACCATGGCTATGTCAGTTTAAACTTGTAAAACAAGGTTACCAGTATTATTTTTAATACTATTTATACTTCTTTGGGATAGAATATTTTTTCTTTAAGTTTTGATATACTGTTTTACCTTGGTTATAACATACAAGTAAGTTTCGACTAAAAAAAATTCTTTGTTAATTTTTCATCAGTCACAAAGAAACTATATCAGCTATTACTTGCATTGTGCTCTGGTGACATGAAGCCCACCACTTGACACAATTTCTGTATCATACAGGTATATACCGGTAGTACTGGTATGCATGTATGTGAGGCATAGGTCACATGGGACCATAGACACACCTGTGTCATTTACACAAGTACATGCCCCACTAATTACAGTACGGTAAATAAAATATACATCATATCGGATACATATGGGGGATGTTTGTAGTACAATGACCTTGACCCTTTTAATCTTTATTGGTTACCTGTCCGGCAATGGCTTTGGCAGTCTTTTTATTGTCTCCCGTCAACAATATCACAGTTATGCCCATTTTCTTCAATGTGTGTACTGCTAATGCAGCTTCTTCTTTGACGCTGTCTGCAAGAGCTATGGTTCCAACAAGAATGTCTGAAAATAGTGAAGACGCAAAATGCTGAACTCTAGAAAAATTATATTCAATGTTTAGCATTTATTAAATATTGGTCTCAATTACATGCAGTAAATATTGGTTTCTCATTTTGTTTGTTTGTTTGTCTTTCTTCAAATCTGTATTGCATTTTATTCAAAATTCTGATAAGGATATGAATGCAATAAAGATAATTAATATTACACAAGGTAGAATAAAAATAGTTTGGACTTCCTCCGAAAAGTGCACTACCCATAATGCACTGCATAGCAGATTCAATTAATACTTACTGTCAATTGAAACTAACACTGCAGTTTGACCTTTGCTCTCATGCTCTATCATCACTTTATTCATCTCCGTGGAAACACTAGACCATGGCGCTTCATCCACTCACGGTTGCCAATCAACACTGCGTAGCTAGGACCTAATACTGCAGGGCCTAGAAAAACAATATGTGTTGATGTTTTAATACTTGCATGTGATTTATACGATGCTTGCAAATTAATGAGAAGAGTGTCGCATAGAGTGTTGACAGAGACAGAGGAACAGGAAATAAAAATAATTAACAAGGAAAGTTGATGAAAAGAAAAGTCCAACCTTAATAGCCAAGTAAGTGTATCAGCATTTGGCAGTATTGAATCAATCAATTACACCCTGCATTCATCAATTGTTTAGATAATCAACAACAAATAAAACTCTCTAGTTATAAACCATGTCTTGTGAAATTGACGTAGCTGGGTGAAAGCACTGCTGTTCACAGCGTGGTTTTGTGGTCCTTCATAATATGTTAAATCTCTCTTTTTTTATACTACAGATCAAATTAATAATGAAGAGAACAGCATTTCTTTTATCCGTTTACATGTCATAGAAGCAGTAAATTCCCAGTGAGTGAGACTGTATTTTTACAGACAGATTATGTATCAGCATTAATATGTACCATATTTGATCTATTAGAAGCGCATTTCCAATAAAAGTGCACATAAACAAAAATTTGCATTTGCTGTATGCTGGATTATTCAATATTACTTATGTGAACCACGAAGACGTCATTTTACTAATAGTAAGAGCAAATTTGGTACATATGTATTTGGATGAGATGTAATGAAAACAGCATGCATGATATTTACCAGTGTTACTGGCATGTGCATCTTGACCTTCCCCACCATGAGTACCATTCACCATGCCGCCATTTGCAATAACTTTCAATGGCAAACCTTGGTTTATATTTTCTTGTCCTCTGTCACTGAGTAGTGCTTCTACGTTGGATACTGTACAGCTCATTCCGCAACCTGGTACTGCTTGGAAATCATGGCAGTGACCAAGGTTGTCTGTGTTCAGCACCTAAGGAAATACACACCACAAATGTATATGCAACGATGATCGAGCCATGCATAGCAGAGTCCCAGTTAGTCATCAAAACTTAAGTTATATAGTTTTGTTGTACAAAAAATGTCATGTACCAAGTTTGAACAAAATACATCTGCCAAGAAATGCTTGATTTTGATGATTTTTCAGTACAAAAATGACTGCCATCTTGAATCAGATCGTGAAACAAATTGATGTGCATATGTATAATATTATGTATGATGTATGTGTGAAGTTTGAAAGTAACCGGTCCTGGCATGTTTAAAATATAGGTTATGATGGACAGACACAGAAGTCCATAAGTCCCGTTCGGATGCACATCTTGTGAAGCAGTTTGTTTCTGCATTCAGAGATGGTTATATTTCAATAAGTTCATAAAAGAATATTTCTCATCAAAGTATTGAGGACAAAATATTTACTCTTAGTGCAATTTTAATATTTTTCAATTATTTTATATTTCAAATTTTGCTTGATAACAAAGTTGAAGAAGTTGACTAAATTTACTGTAAATG